CTGAAATTACGGGTGCATATTTTTAAATTAAAAATGGAAAACAGCTATTTCCATTCCATCCAACCCTAACATATAAAAAGAGAATAACACATGTTGCTAAACTTAACTCAGAAGTGCCATTAACTACATCACATGTGGCTGAGAGTGCTAAGATAGAAACACTAAATCTATTTACATTGTTAGAAAGCTTGCTAAATCTTAAAGCATGCACTCAGGAACCACGAGATGTTATTCTGCTCATCTGAGGGATTTCATGTCATGTCTGTTTTAATTATATAACCTCCCCATATTTCTGGAACTGAAACAGCTATTTTTGTCTGATTAAACTTCTGAAGCCCAGAACTGGTGGGCAAAGACTACCAGGCTTGTCCAACCTGCAGCCCACTAGCCATATGCTAACTATGAATGCAGTCCAATAAAAAAAAAAAAAATCATACGTTTACTTAAAACATCTTTAGGGTTTTTTCTTTTCAACTGCATTGCACAGTTCTCCAGCATGAACTGTGTGGATGACCAGGCTGTGTTGCTTGCTAAGTGCTGCTCACACTGAAAGCTACTCAAAAGGGGGGGCAGGGGAGAGAAAGGATCTACATATACCAAACATTTACAGTCAGACCCAGGAAGATCAAAGGTAAAGCATGAATGACAGATACGAAGAAAATCTACAGGGGTTGGAGACTTAGCTCAGTAGTAGAGTGCTTGCCTAACAAGTGCAAGGCTCTGGGTTCGGTCCTCAGCTCCGGAAAGAAAAAAAAAGAAAATCTACAAACCTGTAGGAAAAGGAGAGAGGGGTAAGGAAAAACCGTACTAAAGCAGGAGCTCACTGGCCTGTACCTGAATTAACAGTGAAAGAATACTTACTCATTAAATACAGAACCCCTGCTCCTGGGGAGGTCATCTGGGAGTTACTTCCTTTGGTTCAGTGGCAAAGAGCTGCCCACATTTGAGTTAAGAACTTTCACCAAAACTATCAAAGTATGGGAGGCTCCAAATCCAATTACTGAATGTTCCCTGATGGCTAAAATAAACCACAGCTCAACCGAAAATTACGGAGGAAGAAATAGAAAAAGGGAAGCTTTCTGGTCCATCAAATAGCTAGTGGATGACAGGTCTATATTCCTAGCACCTAGAAGGTAGAGGCAGAAGGATCAGGAATCAGGTCATCCTCAGTTACATACTTGTAACATCTTCAGTTACAAGTTCAGTCGGGGCTACCCGAGTCCCTTTCTCAAAACCTAACCAACCGAACGAAAGAAGCCCTTTAGTCATCTCCATCCTTAGACCAGAGACACCATTAATCTCTAGTATCGACTTGTGAGGAGTGTAGAGGACTGAGGTTAGACTGAAATCTACTGTGTACAAATTGCAAAGGTGCGTAACTATTATCAGAGTAAGGACCAGCCTGCACCCCTGCCTCATGTATGTTTACTTCCCATTTTCTCCACAGGAAGGTAGGAGAGATCAAAACTAAACAAAACAAGAAGGAAGCAAAGGATTCTAAAGAGGATGTGCAGATAAAGGAAGAATATCAAGGTATTAGTAGTTTAAGAATTAAAGCGCACACAAATGCTTATTACCTCTGAATTAACACACAGAATGGGGCCTAACATCAACCAATCAGCACATTTTGTTCGTCCATAAAGCCCAATGAAAGCCACATTATTATCAGGTGGCAAGTACATTCGAGAACAAGAGTCCTTAACTGATTACAGATTTTCAGTTATATTAAGTCAGGCTGCACCACGAGCAAAAAGTCACCAACTAAGCTTTAGTACAAGCTTCTGAGAGTGCTCTATTCTGAGTGACATCAAGGGTTAAGTGGCTTTTCTTGCTCTCCCACACCCCGTCTTCCTACACTCATGTTGACTATTGACCTCATACTGAAAATACAGTCTGTTGAGACTAGCTACAAAACACTCACCTCAGCTTTAGTTTTCTTTCAGAAAAATCTTTTCATGCCTTTATCCTATATCAAGTCATTTTCGCTAATAACTCCAGCTATACTTTGTAAATCAAGACAACTTTTCCAAAGGCTATCTGTTGACTGCTGTGGGATGTCCTGTATGCTGTGAATATATGTTGCTATGATTGACTGATAAATAAAACGCTGATTGGCCAGTAGCCAGGCAGGAAGTATAGTGTAGGCGGGACAAAGAGAGGAGAAGGCTGGAGAGAAGAAGGCTGAGTCAGGAGACACTGCCAGCCGCCACGAGGAGAAGCATGATGTAAGATACCAGTAAGCCACGAGCCATGTGGCAAGGTATAGATGTATAGAAATGGGTTAATTTAAGATATAAGAACAGATAGCAAGCAGCCTGCCACAGCCATACAGTTTATAAGTAATATAAGTCTCTATGTGTTTACTTGGGGGACGCGAGTGGGAGAGAAATGTCCCGATTGCTGGCAGGCTGGGACACAGGAAAACTTCAGCTACAGTTGATCACAACTAGTTTCATTCACACTAATCATGAGTGAAATTCAAAGAGCAGCACGGATCAATTACCTCAATGACTTTTTAGAAAGCTTCACAAAAATTAAATAAGACTCAAATGATGAATAAGTGTAGAAGCATATTACTACAGATTATCTTTCTGAGGAAACAGATCACCTTTCACTGACATCCAGTACGTTAAGACAAGACCACGGCAATAGCAACAACAACAAAATCCATGAAACCAGAACCCCAAGCTTCTGTAAGAAATTAAATTTCTGTAATAAATTTCTATTAGAGTAAATGGCAAAAATCCCAAGACATAGGTAACCTATTTATGAAGAGTTCTAGATAAATTCTAGAATTTCCCCTGGTATACTCAAACAATGCTTATACCCAGGATAGATAATAAGAGTTTCTTATGATCAAGATCCACAGCCAAGCATTGTGCCTCATACCTTTTTAAGGTTTTTAGGGGCCTGAGGTAGGATTACCAAGAGTTCAAAGCCAGGCTGACGGACATAGTGGGCTCCTGGTCATCTCTGGCTAGAGTGGAAACTCTGTCTTGAAAAAAAACAATAAATGAGAAAGAGTTCTAGTTAGGTGTGGACCTTTGAATAAAAAAACACCTCCCACAGGCTCAAGTATTTGAATACTTGACCTCCTACTGATGGTACTGTTTGGGGAAGGTAACCATTAAGAGGTGGACCCTTGCCAGAGGAAGTGTGTCACTGGGGCCAGACTCAGGCCCACTTACAGTTAGCTCCCTCTGCTTCCTGCATGTAAATAAAGACATAATATCTTAGCCTTGCTGCTCCAACCACCTGCCACCATGCCTTGGCCACCATTACGACTCTCCCTCTGAAACCGTAAACCAAAATAAACTCTTTCTTCCAGAAGTCAGTTTGGGGCATGCTGCTTTATCACAGTAACAAAAAGCAACTAATGCACGAGGCACAGTGGTGGGGATCTATGATGCCAACACTTGGGAGACAGAGGCAGAAGGGTCAACAAGAGTTCAAGGTCAACATAGTGACTTCCAGCCTGAGCATATAGGGAGATCTTGTCTCAAATAACAAATGACAATCAAAACAAAAAAAACACAAAACCCTCTCCTAGATAAAATAAGCCCACTGCAAGGTAACAAGACAAAACTGTTCCAAGTATTTGATAAAAACTGTCCCATGCCTAGTTTAATTTAAAAACAACCACTGAACCCAGCACGTCAATGTTTCTCATGTTAATGCCAGACATACTGTATTTTTGGAAAACACAGTTCATAAATTGTGTTAATGAAAGTTCTTCAAAGTAAAATATCTGATTAAATGAGGCAAATCATGTATGATGTTAACAATTCTCTTCCATTAATTGATCTAAATTATTGATCCATTTTTTAAATTAAAAAAGGTTCCCCTCTTACTTGATCTGGCTAATTCTCACTTACTCTTTTAGGTCTCAGCTACTCCTCCCTCTAGGGCATTCCCTCAAATGCAGATCACAGGCCTAGTCACACACTTCTACTGGTACAATGCACATCCACTAGCAAAGCATTTACGCATATTGTCGTATATGAAGGGACTCTGGCCAGCCCAGGCCTGGCAAACATGGCTCTGGCAGGCCTTGCCCTTCTCTCCCATTCCCTCTGCCTTGCTAAAAACCATTAGATTACATTCTAAAGCTAGCACCACAGTCTATTCCCTTATGTGGCCTCCTGGGGCTGACTACCAAGGTTAAGCTATCAAAAGCCCCCTTTGGCTCACCTAATTAACACACCTAATTAAAATTAAGCACCTCATCCTAACACAGGGTTTTGGCTTTTACCTTTATAAACTGCCACTTTCCTATGTGCCATGCCTGTCTCCTCTCTATCCAGAGGCAGTCTTTTGTCCCTCTGGGACAAATACCCCTACCCCCTTTCCCTTCTCCCTGGTCCCCTACCTCCTTTACCACTGCATCCTAGCCCATTCTAACACAGACCTCCCCTTTTTTCTCCTCTTAAAAATTACACCAAGGTCATTTGCTGCTGTTTTCTGCCTGAGTCAGAAAGCAGTTACTTTAACTTTTCTTTTCTGCTTAATAAAGGATCTCTCTGTGAAAACAGGTGTTTGGGTGTGGTTTGTGCTTAATCTGGGGTCCAAGAGGGAGGCCCTGCCATGCAGGGGTCTCCTTCAATATACTTATAAGCTTGTTTGAAAGTGATAGCCATAAATAGACATTAAAGTAATTTGCTGAAGAATGAGGTCACATGTAAAGTCAGACTAGCCCCAGAGTGGTAGAGAATCAATCCTGAGATCAGGCTACAGCAGGAAACAACGGGTGGAGGGCGGGGCTTCAGGAGAGCCATCAGTGGGAAACCTCCACGGACAAGTACACTTTCTTGTGAAGAAAAAAGGCAGTACAAAAATCTCTCAAAGTTATATGTCAGCCAGCCAAGACAGCAGGGCTGTATGCTGATTCACACTGATCTATTTACTCCTACAAAGCCTATGATTTAGAACAACTAAAAATAATAAGAAGAAGAAGAGTACACATCTTATTTTACTTGATTCATAAACTGGTTAAGTCTCACCTGTCATAGGTTCAAACAGCTGATTAGCTTCTAGGTCAGTGAAAGTACTGGAACAGACAGGACATTTGAAGGAGGCCCGATTGGTGGAGTTCCTCTCATCCGTTTCAATCCGCCTTCTCATGTGGTCCAGTTTATATTTTACTACGTTAACCAGAGTGCGATAATTGATGAAGTAGTAGTTATGGCGCGTGGTTTTCCCATCGGCAGCAGTCTCTACCCTCATTCTGCATTTGATGAACTTGTCTCCCTTTAAATTATTTAAAACAGATCGAAGTTGCTTCCGATCAAACTTGAGCAGCTCCAGCATGTCCTCTTCTTTTACACAGGGGTTGCGGATCAAGATGTCCAAAGCCAACACGTGCTCAATGCCGTAAAAGCCCCGGATTACATACTTGGCTAACCGCTTCAATGCTGCTGGAACCTCGGTGAGGACATCAGGGTCTGCCATCTTCAACAGCAAGCTCCAACTTCAACTATATGGATGGGGGAGGGGGGGGATTAGCAGGCAAGAGGACATGACAATCATTTTAATCTACAACTACCTCTCACTGGTAGCTATCATTATTCTTAAAGTGCCACAAAAGCATTCAGCATTCTTTTAAAGATCTCTAACACTTAAATATTTAACAGAAAGCCAGGATTCTTCTCTATAGTACACAAAAGACTACACCTAAAAAGTTTAACATAACCCTTAAATAGTTACTTTTATGATCAACAGTGTGCTCGACTCCAAAACATCATCTATTATTTCTGACAATGATATATTACATCAACTCCATTTTATTTCAAAAAGAGAAACAAAAAATCCCTTGAGAGTGCTCACTATTCTAGCATGCTCTCTAGGAATGGCTAGAAATCCAGAGATTGCTAGCAATTACCCTAGATTTTATTTCTTTTCAGTAAAATTTCCCTGCTAAGATTCAAGAATGTTTTACATAGTCACACTTTCACGATGAAATCACAAAAAAACTCCCCAAACAATAAACACATAAGTAGCTGCCAGTTGGGATAACAAAGTTAAGGACTGTCATAACTGAAGGAAATCACTGCTAAAACAAAAGTGCTTTAGCAACTTTGCAAGTTAAATCTGATCATTAAGTAAACACCTTCTAGATCTTAAAAGCTGGAGGGAGGGGGAGACGGGGGAAACAGATACCCTTTACTACCAGGTCCCTTGAAGAGCAAAGCAGAGCTGACAGTGTCTAACTTCTCGGCCATAGCCCAGCAAGCTGACCTCTCCAAGTCTGACTTGTGACGGCACCTGGCTGTATTTTGGTTGCTGTACGAGCCTGATCAAAGCCTTAGATAAACTCAAGCCCTGCTTTACTCTCAGAAGGAAAATGGGGTACTGTGATGAATGAAAATGCTAAGTGGTACCTAAGAGGACTTATTAACTAGGCCAGCTTCCACATAACTTTACTATGACCAAACTGAAACTAGCCAGCCGAGCCACAGGCTACACCTGGAATTTCTGGGTAATAGAGAATTTTTTTTTTTTTTTGGTTTTTCAAGACAGGGTTTCTCTGTGTAGCTTTGCGCCTTTCCTGGAACTCACTTTGTAGCTCAGGCTGGCCTTGAACTCAGAGATCTGCCTGGCTCTGCCTCCCAGTGCTGGGATTAAAGGCGTGCACTGCTGCTACTGCTGCTGCTGCTGCTGCCGCTGCCGCCGCCGCCGCTGCCACCACCACCCAGCTTAGAAAAAATTTTAAGACATCCTGCTGAACTATTTCTATGAGCAGTCATATTGTTATTAATACCAGTTTTCAAATGAATCTTTAATTTGAACCTGAAGAAACCAACCCTATTAATGCTTCTTTCTGTAATAGTATCTGCAGCACTATATTATTAAGTCCTAAATAACCAATGTTCACACTTTTTACGGGGGTGGGGGGTTGGGTGGGGAGGTGGAGGGGGTTAAGGCCATATCTACAATAAAGGAAAAATAAAGTTACAATATATATTTTAATCCTCAGTACTCAGGCATAACCATTACACACGTGGGGATAACAAAGGAGCATCTGGACTCACCAGGTCCAAACTGAAGTCTGAGAGCCTTTCTGTCACCCTAGATGTTTAAGAATGCCTGGGTTCACTACCAACTCAGAATCACAGCACAGAATCAGATACGTTTTGATCTCCTTTCCAATTCTGTACTTAAAAAACCAGATTTTGCTTTTTGTTTTACACGCCCAGTTGCTGACAAAACATACGGGTTCAGAAGCATTCGAAAGCCTGAAGGCCAGACAAATGTCAGCACAGCCTATCATTTTCTGTCTTACCTTTCATTACTCTCCACTGTCCCCATCCTCACACACTCTAAGATTCAGACCACTGGTTCTCAACCCTGACTGTAAAGTAGAATCCTCCAGACAGCATTTTAAGCATACTAACTAACCCTGGGCCCCATTCCCAGCAGCTTTGTTTCAGCTAATACAGAAGGGCCAGATTAGGAATGCCCCTAATTTTAAAATCCCTTTAGATTAATCAAATATGCAACAAAGTCCCTGATCATCGCTCCAATCTGTCCCATGGCTATTTCGCGCACAGGAAATGAACATCCTGTATGGAGAGGCCCCTGTACTACTTGTTGTTCAGCCTGTTTCCTTTGTCTGATATACCTCTGGGGTCTTGATCAGTGCAAAGGAGTGACATCAAGACTTTTCTAGTCAATAGTTTGAAGCTTGACAATCCCAGGTCAATTTCTTAGTGTTGGCTCCAGAAAATCCACAACCTCAGTTTCTTCACATATGAAATTAAAGTGCCTTCCTCACACAGTTAATGTATGAATTAAATCAGATAATTAATATAACATGTTCTGTTTCTGGGCTGGTATATGGGTTCAACTGAACTATTGGCGTTCAGAACAATATCCCCCATTTAACTGATTCTTACGCCAGGGAGTTGATATGAAGGTGGTGGCATTGTGGTTGTACCGGAACAGTAGTAATAAAACCTAAACTTAGGCCAGGCGGTGGTGGCGCACACCTTTAATCCCAGCACTCGGGAGGCAGAGCCAGGCGGATCTCTGTGAGTTCGAGGTCAGCCTGGGCTACCAAGTGAGTTCCAGGAAAGGCACAAAGCTACACAGAGAAACCCTGTCTCGAAAAAACAAACAAACAAACAAAAAAAAAAACCTAAACTTAGGTAGAAATGCAAGGACATGATAAATGAAATTTACCACAGAAACAAAATCAAAAGGACCCAACAATGTACCAGGAAAAGATGGTAATAGCTGTTTTGAGCCATTGTAAGGAGGGAAAGTACCAGAAGCCCGTCTTTGATGAAATACTATGCTATTCCTCTGAAGACATACACAAGGTAGCTGAACTAATGAAAGCTCAGGTGGGCTACGTGGTTCAAAACTCTCCAATTTTAAATCTTCCTTCCTGACCAGGGCCTTCACCCCTTCACCTCTTCCCCAGTCAGGATGAATCAAGATTGTTCGATCTCTGGATTTAAGCTACTAAAATCAAGTTCTGAAACTGACAGCCCATATGAAATGTTTTCAACATTTTATGAATTGGTTGTCAACATTTAAACATCTTGAGTGCGTGTAAATTTCAACTTTCCACTCCTCTTGAAAAATTGGAAGTCCGTGAAAAACAAGTGAGTCCACATTTCTACATTAGTTAGTTTCTATAGCAGTTGACACTTAGAAAGGGACTTCTCTGGTCTGTTAAGCCGTTTTGGTGTAATAGCTAATGGTCTTCATTCTCTTTCTCTGTTCACAGTAAGCAGGCATCTCCCGACTTCACCCTACTCAGTTCAGACCCATACTCTAATTGGACAAACATTTAAGGACTACTGTGCCCCAGATGTGGAGTTGGGAGAAACAAGTAGAAATCACTCTGCTTTTGCCATAGTTAGCCTCATGTCCACACACCGTTTCCCTCGGCCCTCAAAGCTAAGCGCAAACCTCTCTCCTAACGTCCTCAGGCTTTGGGTGATGCTTCCTGGCCTTCCCAAATTCCCAACAGTAGCATCTAATACTCTCCTTCGCATTTCCTCATAATTTGTACAGTTTCTACCTACATCTCTAAGGCCGGAAACTTCATCTTGTTCACCAACACTAGTACCTAGCATAAGCTACTCAAGTACTTAAATCAAACTTTCAATGCATCTTCTGGGCACGTGTTCTTGTAGCACAGACATCCTGCCAGCTTCCACAGAATTAATTCACTTGTTTCACACCTGCATCCACAATAATGACAGCAATAAGCCATCCTTTTCTTTTTAAACCTGTAACTGCTTTAAGCAAGGAGTTACGAGATTAAATTTGTGATTTTTTTTAAAAAAGACTACGCTGGATGAAGAGTGGAGGATAAAAGAACAAAGTGGGTGCAGGACGCCCGGTTAGTTAAGACTACTTCCAAGTACTACTTCCCAAGTTCTAGGAGAGCTTGGATTCTACACAGCTTCTACAGTTTTTCTGTTACTGTACTTCAGGAACTCTCCATCTCTTCGTACTGTAAGGGGCCCACGACGGAGGAAGTTCCGGACCCTGGTGCCCTCCACCAGCTGTGCTCAGGGGTGTCCAGACCCCGAGACCCCACAGACCCTCAGACGCGCCCAGGGGGCTCCCGGGCCACAGTCGACGCCGCCGAGCCCGTCCTACCCGAGGTCTCACAGAGGCCGCTCCCGGGCAATGGTTCTTTGGAAGACTAAGAAGAGGACCAAGGCAAGAGGGTGGTCGAGGAGAGGGGACTAGAGAAGGCGGGGGCGGACAGGAGAAACCATGAAATCAGACGCCAGGTCAGAAAACCGGGAACAAAGATCAGGGAATAAGGTTTACCCAAGCGGACGCTCGAACACTCCCACTACAGCTGCCTCAACTACCGGCTTCAGCCAGCCCACGCCACGCGCGAGACGCGGACACACGCCTAATTCCTGCGACCAGTTTGGAAACCGCCCGTTCATCCGCACGGCGAAGCTTTCAATCAAACCAGTCATGCTCTGACCGACCAATGAGATGCTAGGCCCTGCCCTCAACCCCTGCTCTGATTGGCTGAGGATCCAGGAACGGGCGTTACCCTTAAGGAAATCGTGGCAAGATGGCGTCCCTGGATCGGGTGAAGGTTCTGGTGTTGGGAGACTCAGGTGAGCCGCTTAACCCACGTCTGGCACTCCCGACACGCCCGAGCTACCCGATACCCCTCACTCTTCGCTGTTTTACCCCCAAACTTCCTAGCGTTTGGGTTCATGGCCGAAGTCCTTTTCAAGACCTTAAAACTACACTTCCCAGAGGACTTTGCTCCTTTTGACGACGTGGTGGCGTGGCGGGAGGTGGGGGGCGCGGAGCCCGTGTCTTTCTCTGCCTTTGCATTTCATTACGTCGGTCTCCCAGGCGACCCCAGCCGAGAGGATATTGTCCATTCCTTTATGGCTCTCGTTAGGCATACATAAGTTGATAAAACCGCGCCTTCAGGACACTTTGTTCATTAAGTCAAATATACACTAAGAATACACTGACATGTATTAATTCCTTTAATTCTAGAATCAGACCTTTAACTCCATTCTACAGATGATAAAAAGTGAGGCGAGCTGGTTCGAACCCAGAATCGTAAGCTGTAGCATGCAAAGTGATATTAGATGGTAGTCATGATTTCCTTTTTAACTTCCTTGTTCTCATCTAATAGTTGACTGCCTATTAGGTTTCAAGATGTACGAAATAAAGAAATTTTATAAGGGCCACAATCTGAAGCATCTTAATGCTAAGCACAGTTTAATTTAGTGTCAAAATCTTTTTTCTACCTTGAACATTTTAGAACTGCTATTGAAGTCTTTATTTCGCTCTCCTGCCTCGTTATCCTTCTCTTTCCCATTTCCAGCTCTTAAGAACTTCAGTGTACCCTGGCCATGCATTGTGTAGATGCGCTTTTCTGGAGATGACACTTTGTGCTCTAAACAGACATTTTGCTGGGTGCTTGGAAGTAGAAAGGACATATACCACAAATAGCTGACTTATTTCATTCTAAGACTGAAATCAGTCGTAACTTCCCAAAATCCCCCCCGCCCCCCACTTTTTTTGACATTTCACCCCTTTTATAATTTTTTTAAATTTTGTTTATTTTTGAGATTATAATTTTTTTTTTCCGAGACAGAGTTTCTCTGTGTAGTTTTGGTGCCTGTCCTGGACCTCGTGCTGTAGACCAGGTTAGCCTCGAACTCACAGAGATCTGCCTGGCTCTGCCTCCCAAGTTCTGGGATTAAAGGCGTGCGCCACCACTGCCCAGCTGAGATTATAATTTAATTAGAATGTTTCTCCCTATCCTTTCTTTTCCTCTAAACCTTTAAATTAACCCCTCCCACTTTTCTTCAAATCCATGGCCTCTTTTATTTGTTAACCGTTATTGTGTGCTTATTTGTATTTGCATATACATGTATATTCCTAAATATAACCTGTTAAGTCCATAGAATGCTACTTGTTTATATGTTTTCAGGACTGATTATTTGGCACTGGACAAACAACTGGTGTGTCCTGGGTAGGACATCCTCTCCCGTTCTCAGTTTTACTTAGTTGTCTGGTGTAGGGGTGAGGCCTCATGGGTTTTCTCCCCCTCCCCCATCCAGTGTGGTATGTTCATTGGTGTCGTCCTTGTTCAGCTCATGTTTGGGCAGTCATGTTGGTGAGACTTCATGGATGTAGCTTCTGATGTTACTAGGAGACACAATCTCACAACAAACTCCCTGATCCTCTGAGTCTTACAGTCTTGCCTCCCCTTCTTCTGTAACGTTCCCTGAGCATTATTATGGTGCAAGAGTGTCTTATAGATATCGCCATTGGGACGGGGCTCCACAGCTCTGCATTTTGATTGGTTGTGGTTTTTTGTAGTGGTTTTTTGTAGTGGTTTCTGTCTGTTACACCATGAAGTTTCCTTGATGAGGAGTGAGGACTACACTTATCTGTGGGTGAAAGGACATCTGTTTATAGATTGATGTTTATGTTTCAAAATTCTTAAAGAAATGGATAGTTAACCACTTGCTGTTCCCTAGGATGTTGTCTGTTCTTACTGCTGAGAGCTTTGTTTCCTTTTGGCTAACACACCTAAAGCATTTAGTTCACAGAGAGCTAAATAAACTATATAATATTAATACATAGACATGCTGATCCTTATATAGTTAAGCCAACTTTGGGCTTAAGCATGTATCAAGATGATAACTAGCCAGGCAGTGGTGGCACATGCCTTTAATCCCAGCACTCGGAGGCAGAGCCAGGCAGATCTCTGTGAGTTCAAGGCTAGCCTGGGCTACAGAGTGAGTTACAGGAAAGGCACAAAGCTACACAGAGAAACCCTGTCTCAGGGGGAAAAAAAAATAACTAAAGCCCTAGGTAGCCTCCAACAGGAACTTACATGTAAACCCTAAAATCAACAATATACTCTGAAGATGACAGGCACTATGCAATAAGTATAATGACAAAGATGATTTTGAGTGCCCTCAAATCTTAAAGTTCATATGTAAAAGGATATAATAGGAACCTAAGAAAATGTTTGCTTCAGTTACATGAGATGTTTAATTCTTTTAATATGTAAAGAGGTCCTATAGGGCTGGATGTTTCTCCACGGTAGAGCACTTCCGAAGCATGTGCAAGAACTTGTATTCAATACCCAGTATCACAGTATGACACAAAAGGTCGTGTAAGTTAATAACACTAAAACCCATTATTAGCTAAATGGGCAGAGTACATCAGCAGAAAATTCATAAGAATGAGAAAAATTAATTTGCAAACATGATCATAATATATATCATTGTGGACTTTTTTTTTTTTTTCCAAGACAGGGTTTCTCTGTGTAGCTTTGGAGCCTGTCCTGGAACTCACTTGGTAGTCCAGGCTAGCCTCGAACTCACAGAGATCCGCCTGGCTCTGCCTCCCGAGTGCTGGGATTAAAGGCGTGCGCCACCACCTCCCGGCTCATTGTGGACTTTTAATTACTTTCCACATAGCTGAGAACAGAAGCCAAGGCTCCTCAGCAAAAACAACAAAGGCTCTTAATGGCTGGACCATCTCTCCAGCTCTTCCATCTTGTATTGCTCTTGTTGTTTGGGGGGTGGAAGTGTTTGAGACATGGTCTCACTATGTAGCCCTGGCTAGTGTAGAACAAGGCTGGCCTAGAACTCACTACGTAAACCAGGCAAGCCTAGAGCTCAGAGAGTCACCTGCCTCTGCCCTCAACCTTCTTTTTATGACGACGACGTCTCCCCTTGGCCTGGAGCCCCGAAGCTAAGGCTGTCGGGCTAGCACACTGGAGGGATTGCTTGTCTCTGCCTCCTCAACACCGGCATTACAAGCATGCTCCTCTGTGCCTGGCTGTGGTGTGTCGTTTTGTGGATGCAGCTCTGGTTCTCAGGCTTATAGGGCAAGAACTGAGCCTCAGCCAGTTTTTACTGTTCCTAAGTAACTGTGTATATGGTCACAATAACAGCATGTTCGTAGAAAACCCCATATGTTTAGCAATAGTGGTCTAAGGTGATTTTTTCATTTTTATACTTTCTTAGTTGTTAGAAATACAGCTTTCATAATAAAAAGTAAACATGAGTTATAGGCCTATATATAATATCTCACACAGTGAGATTTCCTGACTCTTTCATACAATTAACAGTTCATAGTCAGTTAAATGAATGAGTGACTCCACACCATTTCCTCTCCACCTAGATCTTCAAGAGGTGCCCTTTAGTGTTAGTGACAAGATTACCTGAGCATAAGAGATCTAGAAAGAGATAAAATACTGCTTCAACATAAAAGGCCACAATGAAGAAAAGAGAGTAGAATTATTATTATTATTATTATTCAGAGGATAAATCTGGGGTGAAGTGGTTAGCTGCTTTTTAAAAACCTATGTGTGAGAACTAAAGTCCTTTGAGTATGGATCATGACATCGTGAGTCCTGTCACTGATGGAATTCAAATAATTTTGTGACATGTTCCCTGGCTTACGGGCAATGGTGTGGATGTCCCATTTAGGGTTATGTATTCAGCTGACTAGAGCCCTTGTATCTTCCACAGGTGTTGGGAAATCCTCGCTGGTCCATCTTCTATGCCACAATCAAGTTCTGGGAAATCCATCATGGACTGTGGGCTGCTCGGTGGATATCAGAGTATGTGTTCTTATTTCAGTTTTCCTTAGTTATATTAAATTACAGGATTTACTTAAAATTAAGTAATAATGATAACTGGGATTGATTTAAGTAATAATGATAACTGGGATTGATTTAGCTCCTACTGTGCATCAATACTGTCATTCCTTATTTAATCTTAAGTCATGAGAAAGTAAAAAATGACCAAATTCCTTCAACTCATAAAGCAAATCAACACATGAACCCAGTTGTCTGATTGTACAGGCTTTTATTTTAATCACGATATTTTGAGAATTCAGTTAATATTCTCCATAAATAATTCTGCCTAAACCTATAGCTCTAAGGCTGCAAACTTGTGCCCAGAAGTACAGTGTAAAAGCAGAAGCTTCCAGAGCCTCATGTAGATCACCTGTTCTGTGTCACATTTAGGTATTCAGTGCAGTTTCACTGAATTAAGTGCTAATGTTTAATTCTGGGCAAGTCTGTCATCTGTTGTCACGTCTTCTTACCATTGAATTAAGAACAAATATGGGGCCTGATTAGAACAGCTCAGCAGGGCAAGGCCCTTGCCATCAAGGCTAAGGACCTGAATTCAGTTGCTACCAGATCACATGGTGGAAGGAGAGAACTGACTCCAGCAAGGTGTTCTCTGGCCTCCATATGTGCACCCTGTCACCCCGCAAATGTACACACAGGGAATAA